TGGAATTGTTTTCTCAATTTCTCTCTCTAATCTGATCTATGTATTCAACACAATCCCAAACAAAACCTAGCAGCTGTGGGTTTTTTGGGTTTTTTTAGGTAGAAATGATAAACTGATTCTGAAATTTATAGAGAAATTAAAGTGACTTAGAATAGCCAAAACTATTCAAATATTTGAAAAAGAACAAAGCTGGAGGCAATGCATATTTACACCATAACACACCCTTCAAAGTAGCTAAAATTAGAAAATATTGGCCAAGCTCTAGGGCAACTGGAATTCTCATACTTTTCTTGTGGAAATTTAATTTGGTAAAACCAATTTTCAAAGAGTTTGACATTATCTATTAAAGTTGAACATAGCATTCTCTATTGTCACAACAATGCTGTATAATAAACCACCCCGAACTCAGGATGTAGGACAACAGCATTGATTCTCATACTTACCAATCTTCAGGATGTCTAAGGTTCTGCTAATCTAATCTAATGAGTTTGGCCCGCAGTTTGGATTCACATGCTCCACATATGTTTGGTCTGAGGGTGCAGACTGAAAGGTCAACAGCTACATGAGACAGTGGTCTCCTCATATGCATCACCTGAGCTCAAGGGCCAAATCAAACTCTACAAGCACACTTAAGACTCCTGCTTATCTCCTGCCTGCTACTATTCCATCAGTCAAAAGAATTCATATGACTAAGAACAATACCAGTGACGTCAAGAGGTAAGCTTGACCAACCATGGAAGAGGGAAGGGGATAAATACTTGCTGAAACAAAAATGCAAATTATCATGTCCAGCACATCCAGCATGGCATACACCTAACATAAATGATGCCCATGGGTACTAAGAGACATGAATAAGAAAGCAGCATCGTTCGTAACAGCCAAGAACTGGAAACAGTGCAAATGTCCCTCAACAGCACAATGAATAAAGAAAACGTGCTCCATCCACATCTACGTACATAGTAATGAAAGCGAAAGAGTAAGTGCACACAGAAAGGTGAGTCT